TTTCAGGGGGAAAAAAAACCCCCAACAACCCAAATCACCTAAATCAACTAAGAAGATGCTACCTAGAGGAACTTGTGATACAAGGTAGACAAAGAGCATAATCTATTTGTTTGTGGGTCTGGTTTATTTGATGGTTTTCTAACTATTTAAATGGCTTGCCTTAATACAAGATCTGAGTTTCATTAATATATTGAGATTCTTTTTCAAGATGCAAGCAAGAAGAATAACTTGATTAACCTCTCTCCCTGATAACACAAGGCACATGAAGAATATGTACAAGTATACATTTATATTCTAGCAGACATTTTTAATCATTAAGTGGCTTTATAACATAAGCAATGTACCAAATGAGATAGCTTATAAGGAATCTAATGTTCTAACTTAAGAATGTTGCATATAGTTCAAAGATATTTCAATATATTACTTATTTCAAGATACTTTTTAATCTTAATAAAGCAAAATAAAATTTCATTTTGCTTAATCCCAATATGACTACCTGACACAATTAGGAATGAGAATGACATGTTAAATAGATATGGTTTTGGTCTTCCCATTTCAATCATTACCTCTAGGAATTTCAACCAAACGTAATCTGCTAAGGAATTTAAAAATACATCATGTAATTAGCCTAACATCTGAGATCTAACTTAACAATATTATAGTACTTAAAGGATTTCACTGATCCTTGCTTTTGTAATGTGCTGTAGAGTACATTATACTGTGTATACTTTGTACACTTCGTATACTTTGTACATTGTAACAAGTCTCTGAACAACTGATCAGAACCTTGCCCTGTCTTGGACCATCCTTACCATCTCCGATATATTTCAACCTGTTGTTCCAGTCAATGTGTAATCCATCTTGTTTGAGTTATCTTCTCTTTACCTAACCTCCAACTTTCTCTGCATGGTGTCTTTTCCAAGGACTGGCTCTTCTTTTCCTCAATTTAATCTTATTTTATTAATTTTAATGAACATTTACTGAGATTTTGGATTTCCATTCTTTTATTGTTGCATGGCTCTTCTTGACTACTTGTCAAAAGTATGTGAGATGGAGTTTGACCATCCTAGCCTGAAAGGAGTGATCTGGTTGCACTCTCTCCAAGACAGACTAGTTTGTTCTTCCGGCAGTCCATGGCAATCAGTCCATGGCAGTCAGAATCCTTTATCAATGCCAAGATTCAACATCATTGATTCTTTTTCGGTCATCCTTATTAATTGTTTAACGTACAAGTGCATAGGAAGGAATTGAAAATACTATGGCTTGGATTAGGCACACCATAGTCTCTCAAAACAGTGCTGCTCTTTTGAAACTTGAAGAAGTTTTTGATAGCAGATTTTCTGAATGCAACATGTCTTTTGTTTCTTGACTGCTATTATCCTGTTAATTGTGAATGCAAGCAAAATGAAATCTTTGACAACTTCAGTGTTTTCTCCATCTACCACGATGTTCCCTGCATCCAGTGGTCAGAATTTTTGTTTTCTTGATGTTGAGATATAACCCATATTGAAGGATGTTTCTGTGGTTTTGTTGTGTACCATCATGTTGAAACTGACCCACGGCTGACACTCCCGTGGGTTTTGAGATGCAGGAAATCACACGAAATGAGATTACCAATCTTTCTTCTACTGAAGAGCCTGTGGATTTGAACTGTATACCTTTGAGTGGGCAGCACAATATTACAGGATAAAGTATTTTAATATGACTCACTTTCTGCTAATAAAGTTGTGTCATTTGTATAGTACAGGTTGTAGATGAGTCTTCTTCCAAACTTGATGACATATTTTTCTTCATATAGTGCAGTCTCTCAAATTATTTACTCAGCATACAGACTTATGAAGTTGGTAAAAACACACAATTCTGACGCATATCTTTCTTTATTTCAAACCAAGCAAGAACCAAGTTGTTCTGTTCAGCCAACTACTTCTTAGTCTATGGGTACATTTCTCAGAAGCAAAATTATATTCTGAGAGTCATGATCTTCTCAAACAGCCATAATTTGTTATGACTCACAGACTCAAATGGAAGCCTGCCCATGTCTTCTTCCAAGAAATAAATGCTGGATTCACCACATTTGTAAACCAAAAAAAAAGAAGCCAGTTTCTTACTTCAACTCCATTATCTTACTCATTTATTAATCTTAATTCATACTTGGGGTTTTTTTTCCTCATTTTGTTTGACATGTCAAGCTTTATCCTTGAAGAATTGTGCTTGTTACTGTTTCTACTCAATACACCTAACTGTTTATATTGTTTCCCAGTCCCTTAGACCACAACTCATTGTCACTGTCTCTAAGATGCTTACTTCTTATGTAGAAAAGGACCTTTTAAGATGTTCCTTACTTGTTTCATTTTCTTCCACACTGTCCTCCTTTCCTTTCTCATAAAATTTATTAGAACACATTATTTCAATGTTTGTTTAGGTGTCATCTTATACCCCTCCATGCCAAAAGAGGACTCTGATGCTATATTATGGTCAGCTGTAACTGAGTTGGTCCTAACTTACCCTCATTCCATGTATTTTAAAGCAGAACTGTGTTATACAGAGTTTCAAGGTTTGGTTGGATTTTTTTTTTTTTTTTCAGAATGTCAGGTCTGTCTTCTTAGCCACTTCTTGGTAACTTCAAACAATCAACCTTACAACTAGTAGTCAAGAGCTTAACACTTTGCATCACACACTTATTGCATTGGATCAGACCTGACTTGTAGCCCACCTTCCAGTGGATTTTCACAGACTAAATTGCCTTAGAAGAGTTTGCCCATCTTTCTTCTACAGAGCAACTGGTGCATTCAAGTCACCACCTTTGGGTTGCCAGGAAAACTCCTACTACCTATGCTACAGGTATTTCCCCATTACAGCATATCGGGAACTAAAATTTTATTAATTCTATAAGAATAAAATAATCATATTCAAAAAGAATTATGTATGCTTGGTTTATCAGATTATTATATATACAAGAACAATCTATGATATATATTAATACAAGAAATACACGTTATTGTTATAACGTGTCATTGAGTTGCCTGCGGCTCAGAGCGAATAGTTTTATAAAATTCATATAATGTTTAGTAAAAATAAATAAAAAGATGATGCTTCCAACGGGAACTTGAGATTGTGGGTAAGAGAAGTTTATCATTTCATTTTTTTACATATGTGCCCGGAATATTATTTAGCATTTTCAAAAAAATAAATGGCATACATTGATGCTTTTAAATAATGACTATAAACATTTAAAATCATTCACTTATACTTAAAAACTATTTAAAAACCTCTAGAAAACCACATTCTCCAGATGTGATTTATTTGATAGTTTCAACTGATAATTTTCTTTGTTAACTGTGCATGCTAGAATTTTGTATAATTAATATAAATTATCCTCTGAAAACAAGTGACCTCAATAAAGTATCATTGTTAAGTGCCATAAGTAGACGATAACGCCTAAGAATCTTATGCACAGCAGATCTGATCTTTGCCTTTTCCTGTTCTTACTATCCTTTTCCTGTTCTTACTATCCTTTTCCTGTTCTTACTATCCTTTTCCTGTTCTTACTTTTTCCTGTAATCTTTTCCTGTTCTTATTTCTGTCATGTTGAAGCCCGTTGTGACAATCACTGTGTCAAACCATCTCATTGAAGATTTTCTCTTTGTTTGACTCTCTAACTTTCTCAACATGATGTCTCTCTATAAGAACTGGTTCCTCCTAAAAAAATATACCCCAAATTGGTGAAACAGAGTTTCACCATCCTTTCCCCTAAAAAAGAACACTTGCTGCATTTCCTTCAAGACAGATTAGCTTCTTCCTCTGATAACCCACAGAATATCTAATACTCCTCTCTAATACCACAGAGAATTATAGCAGTTTATAAAAGCAAAGATAATCTTTGACTGAATCTACCTTTCTACTATGAGTTGACTCTGTTCTAAGCCACTTCACTCAAGATTCCAAATGAATGAATAGACATTTAAAATGTTAGTGTTAGCCATGAAGTAAGGGGAAACTCTCACAAACAATTAAATGCTCAACTAAGAAGTGGCACATCTGAACCCTAATTTATTGTCCATAGACAGTACTTTACAACTCACAATCCCAGAGATTACAAAAGTCATTCTACTACATGCCCAGAAGTCAAAGAAGTAAAATGACTACTGAATAAAATGCATGACTCCTACAAAAAAGTGAAGTTTTGTAATAAAAAATCCATGCCTTTATAGAATGAAAATATGTTGTTGTTTTGTTGTCATGCACTACGGAATCTAAACTGACTCATAGCTGATCTTTGGGTACATTTTCAGAGGCCATAAATCCCATGGGAAGAGATTATACATATGTTTCTCTCATATAGAAGCCCATGAGTTTGCACCATTTGCCTTTGAGTTGGCAACACAGCTCCTTACCACTAAACTATATTTATTGGTGTGGTTGTTATTGTTGTTGTTATGTGCTGTCGAGTTGCTTGTGACTCACAACAACCCTATGTACAATAGCCCTGAAACCTGCTCTATCCTGTGTCAACTTCACCGTCTCCAACACATCTACCCTCATTACCCCAGTCACTGTTTCACTCTATCTCATCAATGGTCTCCCTCCATTTCTTCATCCCTCCACCCTTCCAAGTGTGATGTCCCTCTCCAAGGACCAGTATATCCTTCAACCATGCGCAAAGTATATGTCAGACAAAGCCTCAGAATTCTTGCCTCTAAGAATCAGGTTGGCTTCATCCTCTCTAGGACGAAGCTGTTTGTTCTCCTGGCAGTCCATAGTATATCCAACACTCTTCTCCAGCACCACAGCTTAAAGTCAATTCCTTTTCTATCATCCATAGTCATTGTCCAGCTTTCTGATGCATAGCAAGCCATTGGAGCATATATTTTTAAAATAGAGTTTTTAAAAATAGAATTGTATCTTGATGTTTTTTATTCCTTATTTCACCATCAATTCTATCCTAAATCTTGACAAAAATGTCTAGAAAAAAACTTGGAAACAGTGACTATAGAGATTGCTTAAGAAAGTAATTTTTTTCTCAGGAGCTCTTTGGTTAATGCTTCTTTCACATCTTTATTTCTAAGGCTATAAATCATGGGATTCAACATGGGAATGATCGTTGTATAAAATACAGCTACCATTTTTCCTTGTTCCACAGACTCCTCTGAGGGAGGCCTGAGATACATGAAAAAAAGAGTTGCATAAAATATGGTGACAGCTGTCAGATGGGAACCACAGGTTGAGAAAGCTTTGCGTCTGCCCTCTGTAGAGCAGATCCTCAGAATAGCAGGGAAAATATAAAGGTAGGAAATAAGAATAATGAGAAGGGAAAAGGAAAGATTGCACCCTGCCACAACGAACATTGATGTTTCCTTGTTGTAAGTGTCAGAACAAGCCAGCTTAATCAATGGTGGGTCAGCACAGTAGAAGTGATTAATCTCATTGGGACCACAGAAGGCTAGGTTGTAGGTCCACATGGTCTCCATCAGACCAGTGAGAGCCCCATACACGTAAGGCACTGTGATGAGGGAGGTGCAGACGGTCTTGGACATTTTGCTGCCATAAAGTAGAGGGTTGCAGATGGCCATGTACCTGTCAAAGGCCATCGTGGCCAGGATATAGATCTCCACGTGGACCAAGGCAATAAAGAAGTAGCACTGCACCAAGCAGGCAGGATAGGAAATGGTCTTCTTCTCTGCTAGGAAAATCTCCAACATCTTTGGAGTCACATTGGTGGAGAAGCACAGATCTACGAATGAGAGGTGGCTCAGGAAAAAGTACATGGGTGTGTGAAGTCGAGCATTGACTTGAATGAGTATTATCATGCCGAGGTTGCCTGCAACTGTGACCAGGTAAACTACCAAAAAGAGCAGGAAGAGGAGAATCTGTAATTCCAGGCGACTGGTCAGTCCCAGGAGAACAAACTCATTCACTGAAGTCAAGTTTCTTTTCATAATTTCTTCACATGGGAGACAAAAAGCTTTGTATTTATATTAGGTTATGTATAATAAAAACATAAATTTTATAGTAATGAATTTACCAAATACTTCTTTCCCCAGTAATTTCTCACTCTATTTCTACTACTGTTATTTCTTGATAAATTCAGTCTCTGACCTAGGAAGTTGCAAGCAGTCTATATTTTTTTTCTCCTGCCCTATTCGTTTCTTTGAATTGTCCTTTCATATCTTCTCTCCCTTCCCAATCCACTGCTTCCTCTTTTATTTGATTTAAGTAATTTATGGACATAAAACCCCTCAGGACTAAATCATTTTCTCAATTACAGTATTATATACGCAAAGGAAAATTTATCAGAGATAAAGAACAAGATATGAAAGTTAATGGTTTTGTTCTTTTTTATGAATTTCACCCAATCAATTCTATATTAGAGAAACCCAAGTATCCTATTCAAGCTAGGTCAGTTTGATCCCCCCCACCACCACCCCATACATATACACACACACATATTTATGTTTGTAAAACTAGGCTTACTAAGTGACATGAGAGACCCTTTTGTAGAAGTGTATTAATATTTACATTTTGGACATTGTTCTGGGTTTAAATTCTAAAACCATTAGCTCTGTGTCACATTTGATTCTACAACATTTAACAACAACAAGTACAAAGCATTACAAATTTTAAAATCAAGTTCTCATATCACAGAATTGAGAATTGGTGAAATCCTCTGCTCTTGCTTACATACTTCTGGCTTCTATTGTGAAACTGAAGAGTAAGAGCCTTAGATTTGTGGTAAAGACAGGAGCAAGGAAGGTTCAGACTCATCATTGTCTTATGTGAGTAAGTGATTCAAGATAGAATATATATTTTTGCATTAAATTATTCAGAGGTCAGTGAGATTTAAACATTAGCTGATCCGAAAAAAAAAAAAAGACTGATTCCGCATGTTTCAAGCAGCCTAATTTCCAAAATTCCTTGAGTTAATATCCCTACTCAACTTAATCTTCTAGCTACATAATGATTTGGGAGATTGAAAATACGTTTCCACAGATAACAAGAATTAACTCTTGTAACTTACAAAGACAAAAAAAGAAAAAAGAGAGAAAAAGTGGCTCCAGCGATATTAACTAATAGGTGTACATTTCTTTTTACATATGTAAATTATCCGTACTCTCAAGACTTTCATATAAAAGACTGTTACAAGGCTTTAATTTGTGATTTAGGTGCCTTTGAGTTGATTTTGAATCTTAGGAACACTGTTTAAAACAGAACACAACCATGCTGGTCCTGTAACATGCCATGCCCAACCCATTGTTACCATCACTAAGTCAACCCATCACAATTTATATATAATAAAACCAGCTGTGTTTTAAATATATAATGCAATATAATTGAGCAAAAGTACACAGCTAAGTATAATACCTACAGTGAGATATTTTTAAATGTTATAACTACATCAGACAGAAAAATAATAAAATAATGGTTTTAACCTAGTCAGTTCCTGTAGTTACACATTTCAAAAGAGCTGTTCTACTCCTTGTATACAGTCACTCATCTAGTTTTGTTTTGTTTTGTTGTCAATTTATTTCTTTAGAACCTTTTGATTAATATAGTGCCAAATTAATATCGTGCCAGAATCTGATCCAAGCATTTAATAAATATTAGCTTATCTGACCTTCAAATCAACCCTTAGATGTTCTGTCTTTGATAGATGTTGACAATAATTACATAATTATCTCTCTCATATTCAGTGTGGAAGAGTGCACTATTATATAATAGTAATAACTTGGAAATGGAAGGAATAGTAAAAGGAAGTAACAGCTTGTAGTTAGCAATTTTAACACATTTTTTCTTGTATATTATGCTTTCTAGTAAGTATTTCAATATGAATTATTTACTATAGATTTAACTTCTAAACTAGGATCATCATTTTTGACACTTGAAGAATCGGTTTAAAAAGAGGCAGTAAAAGAATTACCTAACACATCTGAGTGTCTGAAGTCACAAGAAGAAATAAAACCTTAAGTTTTGGTAGTGTTAGAGTGATTAATAAGCACTGACTAAGGCCTTAAACAAAAAAGTAAATCATAGGCTACTTGTAAGCCTGATAATTACTGCTTCCTATATATTGCACACTTGGTGAGAGGGAAGTAGTGAAACCTTAATGATGCATTGCTCCTAGTCTTTCCCAGAGGATAGACTCTTAATAAAAAGGTCTCCTCTTTCTTCTCAAAACATAGGATTCTTTTTTTTTCCATCAGAGCCTCCTAGAGTTTAAACTCAAGTTCAAAATAATATTTTAGATAGTGGGGTACACTGTTTAAAAAAATAGTTTAAAAAATGTTGAGGTCAGCTCTGGTGGCCTAGTGGCAAGAAGCTGCACTGCAATCCCTGAGGTGTGTGGTTCAAATCCACCAGATGCTCTGCTGGAAAAGGAGGAACAATCTCCTCCTGTACCAGTGAGATCTGATTTGACGGTACACACACACAAATAATAAAAAAAAAAATTTAAATGAAAAAAGAAAGATAAAAAAATGTTGTTGAATTCACATTCCAGCTTCAGCATGTTCTTTATAAGTTAATACAGGATATGTTTCTTAATAGTTCAATGATTCAGAAGTGTTTCCTTAAAAAATAATCAGTGAAAGTACTGCCTCCCAGCATAATATTGAAAAATCAATAAACTTTATGGTTTATGCTCTATAGCACGCTGGAACTATACAGCATTGTGGCTAACAGAAAGGAGGCTCTGGTAGTCTCATCCATTAACTCAAAGGCAGTGTCTCTCTGGTGGTTCAAATCCACCACTGAGTCCAAAGGAGAAAGGTGAGTAATCTCTTCCTATGCAATGGACAGCTTTAGAAGCCCAGTAAAGAGTCAGTTATGAATTTGTTCCACCATGAAGAAAATACTTTCTTGTTTCCTTTTGTTTTGAGTCTAGTATGAGGCTCTGATAGTGAAGTTAGGTATGTGTCTCACTGCTGAAAGGTCAGAAGTTTGAAATTACCCGCTGCTTATAGGCTAAAGATAGGCAGTCTTCTGTAAAGCTTCAGAGCCTCGAAAACCTAACAGAGCATCATTATGAGTAGGAATTGACAGCAGTGAGTTTGGGTGACTAATATACACCAAACCTTTCATAAATATTACCCATCATTTATATTGAATGAAGGATTCCAGAGCATATGATTCCATGTACTTTGAATTCCTTATCACGTGCTCCTTTTTTTTAAAAAACAGTATCATAGATCCTTAATTTCTTCAATTGTCTTATAATTGCTATTCTTCTCTCTGACCGTTTAATCATAATAATGATAAACACAATTCTGAGTGCACATAGGAATCCACAAATGATTATACTACATACAGAATTTTTAAACAAGCAAACATACTTAGCTATAGAAGAGAGCTGTTCTTACAAAGAAAACCCATGACTCCTTGAGAGAATAATGTAGCTACGATTTATATTGTTTGTATACTGACTCAATGGGGTGATTCAACTTACCCAAGGGATTTAACAGAGTGAGAAGAGTAATTATTTTGCTAGATAATGTTTTCCTAAATTATTTCCCTGGAGAAATAAAAATAAGCAAAATAATAATTCAGCATGGAAGCCAATAAGGGGCTAATGATTTTCTCCTTTACGCACAGTCTCAATAATTTCCTTACTTTATTTGGATGTAAATAAGGTGGCACACATGCCTGTGATTAATTTTCAATTGCATTATTACAATAAATACTCTCACACATTTTGAGCCTGTTTTAGGAAGAACAAGTCCTTGGAGAAGGAAATTATATTCATAATTTATTCTGCTAAGACTAGTACCAGCAGCTAGGAAGTCAAGAGACAAATTGCATTGGGAAAGTCAGCTGTCAGGGACCTCTTCAGAGTACTGAAGGGCAATGACATCATTCTGGTGACTAAGGTGCACCTTTAATCTTAGCAATTGCTTGCTATGCATCAGAGAGCTGGACAATGACTATGGAAGATAGAAAGAGTATTGATGTCTTTGAGCTGTGGTGCTGGAGAAGAATTTTCAATTCCATGAATTTCCAGGAGAACAAACAGGTTCATCCTAGAGAGGGTGAAGCCAAGCTGCTCCTTAGAGACAAGGATTCTGAGGCTGTGTCTGACATACTTTGGGCATGATGCAAGAAGGGTCCAGTCCTTGGAGAAGGACATCATGCTCAGAATGGTGGAGGGACAGAGAAAGAGAGGAAAACCATCAATGAGATAGATTGATACAGTGACTGGGGTAATGAGGCTGGGTGTGTCAGAGACAGTAAAGTTGACACAGGATACAGCAGGTTTCAAGGTTGTTGTACATAGGGTTGCTATGAGTCGCAAGCAACTAAATGGCACACTAAAAAAATATAAGATTAGTAGCAGACAAGTTATAAGAAATGGAAAGTCAATAGTGTCCCAAATACTTGATCTGCGGTATAACTCTGATTTTTGATACTAACTGTTCCTCCCGTGTTCAGTTTCCTGACTCTTTTCCGTCCCTTGGGCTCAGTGGTTCACTGGAGGTCCTTACAGAGACTCAGACATGTTAGGGGGAAAACTCATGTGATTGTGGGTGATACAGGCCAGTGTTGCATACACTGATGAGCAGGTGGATGGTGAGTCTCAGTGTCCCAGGTTAGTTGGCATTCCAAAAAGAGAGCTAGCATGAAGATCTCACAAACTTAAATAAACCTCTAGGAGAGTGGGACTTGTATCCCACTTTAAACCTATCTCCTTAATATAATAAATACATCATCACAAAATAAAGTTAATCAATGACTAGGAGGAATATTTGGCACCACAGAGATAAGCCTTTGACATCACAGAGACAGCCTGACATAATGTTTCAACAAGAGATGAATCACAGCAGAGGGTATAAGAATGGTGCAAGGCCAGGCAGAGTTTCATTCTACTGTGCATTGGATCACTGAGTTAGAACCAACTCAATGGTTCCTACCAACAGCACCGTGCCAGCTACAGATAATTCACATATTTAAT